GCCTTTGTGGCTGTGCCCGGGCTTTCTCTAGTTGTAGTACACAGGCTTCTCACTATGGTGGCTCTCTTGCTGTGGAGCATGGTTCTAGAGCATTTGGGCTTCAGTATTTGTGGCAATAGTTTCAGTAGTTGTGGTTCTTAGGCTTAGTTTTCCTGAGGCAAGTGGAATCTTCCAGATCAGGGATCAAACATGTGTCCCCTGCATTGGCAGGAGGATTCTTTACCACTGGATCACTGGGGACGTCCTAACTTAATTCTCTCTTTAAAGACCCTGTGTCCAAGTAAGGTCACATTGTGAGGTCCTGGTGGGTAGGACTTCAAACATGAATTTTAGGGAGACATATTTCAGCCCCATAATACATGGGTAGCATAGAGATTTATTTATTATTTAACATAGGATGGAGATCTATTGATATTTGCCCCACAGTTTGTTTTCAGTGCTGTGAACCCATCTGGAAGGACTTACAGTGAAATATTTCTCCCATCTTTGGGAAGCCCAAGCTCTTCTTCCTCTCAGAGGAAGAGCCACATGTTTGCTGTTTTTTGATGTCTAAAGGAGGGAAGATTCCAGGCTTGAGCAGGATACCCTAGAGACCATTCATTCCAGACTTTTGTGTTTGGAAGTTCTGTGCCCTAAAGGAATTTAGCTGTATTGTCCAAGAAAAGGGACTCAGAGTTTGGGGATTTAAGGAGTTAAGAAAGAACTGGTCTCTGCTTAGTAAGTCAGATTCTTTGAGATTGGGAGGGGCAGGTGAGAAGCAGGGACTACAGGGCAACTGGGTGAGGATAGATGGCATGGGGCACATGCCAGAAAGAACTGAACACGAAGGGCTGTGGCCACGGAGTTCACTGTGGGGAACTGATATTAGATCTCAGATGGTTGGATGGCATCACCGATTCAATGGACATGAGTTTGGGCAAACCCTGGGAGATAGCAAAGGACAGGGAAGCCTGGCATGCTGCCGTCCATGGGGTTGCAAACAGTCAGACACAACTTGGCAACTGAACAACATTAGATCTCAGGATGACAGCAGTGTACCTGGGATGGCTAGTGGACACTGCTCCCATCCTCCCTTCTCCTGTTTAGGGACTGAAGCTCTAAGACTGTCAGCGGGGCACAGAGATACCCAAGTAGTTACTACAGTTCCTAGGCTCCTTGCAGAGCTGTGTGATTTCCTTGCAGAACAGGGGTGATTTAAATGCTTAGAGACAACACTGTGTGACCTTGAGCTTCTCTTTCTTCCTTCCTGTGAGCCAAAACATGAGCATGGGCAGAGGTGGATCAGCTCAACCATGCTATGAGAGGAAGCCCTGGGAGGGTGCGGATGCTGAAAGGGACTCAGAGGAATGGGACCCAGGTCACTGAATGACCCCACGGGCCAGCACTACCTCATTCATCCTGGACCTCACTGCTGGACTGTTCTTGAAAAAGAAATTAACTTTTAACTGTTTAAAGCCACAGTGTTTCAGAATCTTTTTGTTACAGCAGCTTAGCTTATACTCATACCTTAGATCTAGCATGTAAGAGTTTAAGGTAAACTATGTTATGAAGAGGGCTTCCCAGGCGGAGTTAGTGGGAAAGAACCCGCCTGCCAATGCAGCAGATGTAAGAGATGTGGGTTCCATCCCCGGGTCAGGAAGATCCCCTAGAGGAGCGCACAACAACCCACTCCAGTATTCTTGCCTGGAGAATCCCATGGACAGAAGAGCCTGGTGGGCTACAGCCTATGGGGTCACAAAGCATTGCAAACACGCATGTTGTGAAGAAATTTAAGTCAGTTTAATGTATGCTGATAAAGCACATTAATACTACTTCCTCCTTAAAAGTCAGTTACAATTGATTTTATTTTTAGACCTAGGACAACCATTAAGTAGATTGTATTTTGATGAGCCATAGTACTTTTTTGGACTAGAGTATGGAAATCTTTTTGGCAGAGGGAGAACAGTTTATGCTGACATACTTAAAAATAATACATCATGTTTTTCCCTCTTCAGTTTTATTGAGATATAGTTGACATACCTCTAGCATCTTGTAGTGGCAGAAAATAAGGGTGTGTTAAAGAAAAACAAAAAACAAAATCAAAGCCCACACTGATTGAGGAATGTCACAGGAACAAAGGAGGCAACTGAAAGAGCATCCAGAATTCAAAGTGGAAATGATTTGAGCAAGAAAATAAAATCATTCTGGAACCCAAAGTATAAAGTAAGTACTCATGAGTTCATACTGATATAAAAAATGACTGAATAAATGAATACATGAGGGAGAAAAGACAGACCTGTTGTGCATAAGAATTCCAAGTGTTTGATGTAGACACTCTACCCTTTAGGAAGTGGAGCATAACCTCTCACTCCTGAAGTGTGGGCTGAGCAAAGTGACTTCCTTCCAAAGAGGACACTGTGGACCAAGGAGAAAGAATGACTTTACAGTGAGAAATCTGACAGATGCTACTTCAGCTGTGTGATCAAGGTCGACATCAGCCATGGTAAGTTTATTTATGGTCATTACCTTTGATATGATGTGATAGAAATGGAACTTTATTTTTTATGTCTTTCCTCCTTCAAACCTAAAAGCCCAGTATTATAATGAGGAAAATGCCAGACAAATCCCACTCAAGAGACTTTATAACAATGCCTGACTTTAAAACTGTCCAGGTCTTCCAATACAAGGAAAGTCTGAGAAACTGTCATAGAAAAAAGGAACCTTGGGAGACAGGATAACTAAATATAATGTGGTATCTTGGGTGGGATCCTGGAAGAGAATGGGATGTTAGGAAAAAGATAAGAAAATCTGAATCCAGTTTGGGATTTTGGTTAATATCATTAATTCAGTTCAGTTCAGTCACTTAGTCATGTCCAACTCTTTGTGACCTACAGCATGCCAGACCTCCCTGTCCATCACCAACTCCTGGAATTTACTCAGACTCATGTCCATTTAGTCGGTGATACCATCCAACCATCTCATCCTCTGTCATCCCCTTCTCCTCCTGCCTTCAATCTTTCCCAGCATCAGGGTCTTTTCTAATGAGTCTTGGAGTCCAAGGGACTCTCAAGAGTCTTCTCCAACACCTCAGTTCAAAAGCATCAATTCTTTGGCGCTCAGCTTTCTTTATAGTCCAGCTCTCACATCCATACCTGACTACTGGTAAAACGATAACTTTTGACTAGATGGACTTTGTTGGCAAAGTAATGTCTCTGCTTTTTAATGTGCTGTCTAGGTTGGTCATAGCTTTTCTTCCAAGGAGCAAGCATCTTTTAATTTCATGGCTGCTGTCACTAACTGCAGTGATTTTGGAGCCCCCCAAAATAAAGTCTGTCAGTGTTTCCATTGTTTCCTCATCTATTTGCCATGAAGTGATGGGACTGGGTGCCATGATCTTAGTTTTCTATTATTAATTAATAGTATGTTAATATTGGCCCATTAATTGTGACAACATATGTGACTAATGAACGATGTTAAAAATGGGGGAATTGGGTACTGGGTGTATGAAAACTCTGTACAATCTTCACAATTTTTCTGTAAATATAAGCTTATTCTAAAAATAAGTTTATTAAGTAACAAAAATGAAAACAGAACTTGTATATTGCTGGTACTCAGTCCATTAAAGGATTGTAGTAGTCAGTGTTTAATTTACCTTCGGTTTTGTTTTGTTGACTCAGTGCTCATGGATGTGAAAATTATAATGTAAACTGTCATTCAGACTAGGGAAAATCTTGTAATAATTAAAATCCTAGAGGAGAGACTCTAAATTTGAATTCCAAATCTGACTCGAAAATATCAGAAATTCACATTTCAGAAGTTCCTATTCAAGGTTTGAGGCTCCCATTTTATTTTATATTAAATAAAATTAGACATCAAATTGAAAAAAAATAGGGTTCTAGTTGAGTAGGTTGCATTTTTTCTTTCTCAATGACTCATAACATAATGGTACATCATGTAATGAATGCGTCTTACATTCAATTAAGTAGAATATTATCTTTTAGAAGTGTTTAATAACTGATGAGGAAAAGGTTTCTAATTTAAATTTGTGGGAGGGTTTAGTATTTTTATTAATTTGCACATTTTTTAGTATATTAAAATATTATTTCTCTCTTTTGTAATAAATATCTCCCCCTTTTATTTTTTGCCTTTTAATTTTAATTCTGATGCTTTGTTATAGAGTGCCTTTGTTACGAGCACCCTACCTGGGGCTCCTCACTAAGCAGGATTTCCAGGGAGGTGGATTTTTAAGTGTCCCCAGGGATCAGTGGGTAAGAAAGGAAGGAAAGCCAGTCCAGATGCATTAATGCTTTATCTGTGTGTGTGTGTGTGTTCAGTCTCTTCAATCATGTCTCAATCTTTACCACCCCCTGGACTGTAGCCCACAAGTGTCCTCTGTCCATGGGATTTCCCAGGCGAGAACACTGGAGTGGGTTGCCATTTCCTTCTCCAGGGGATCTTCCTGACCCGGGGATCAAACCCAGGTCGCCTGCATTGCAGGCAGATTCTTTGCCGCTGAGCCAGCTGTCTGTATGGCCCCACTGGGCAATGGGAAGCCTCACTGCTCTGGCTATGCAAGGACAAACAGAAACTAAGAGTGTTAATTCTCCCTGCTGCAAAGGGATTTCCGTCCTCTCCTTTTTCTCAGAGCATTTAATTTAGAAAGCGGGGATGTACTTTCTCAACTCTTTAAAATATATTCCTTTGAATACATTAGTCTTTTGTTAGCTGGCCTTCTTTTGCATTTTTTTTTTTTTCTTTTTAAGCTTTTTGACTCAGGAATGCTTTCTCAAGAACCTGAGAGACATCTCTTAAAAGGAAAACATTTTGAGAACCACCTTTTTGAAATTTAAGCATCAAAAGAAGTGGTTTCCTATCACCTCTACTTCAAGAAATAAAATGTCTCCAAAAATGGTAAGAAAAAATCATTTGCAAAATTAAAAAGCCAGCCAACCCAACAAATAAATAAAGGTGGAATCGGGGGAAACAAAAGAGGAAGTCTCCCTCCCTTCCAGTTCCTGGGGTGGGGGGAGGGAGGAGCCTCACTTTGGTGAGTGCTTTGCCCCAGTTTGTAGAACGACCTGCTGCTGCTTCATACAGACAGAAATCGGTTTTCCACTGGATAACCCCAGCTACAGGTAAAGTTGGGGTGAACTCTGTGTGACCAGTGCTACTGTCCGGTCACAGAGCTGCAGGACTAGTCAGTGTTAACCTTGAGAACACGCCGGGAGGGGGCTCTGCTTGGCAGTGGGAGGGTAGAGAGATGCCTTCTGTCTCTGCATTCTTATAGCGGGTCAATTGCCTCTGAGGCACCTCACATTCTAGTTCGAGGCTTGTTCAATAATAACAATGTTTTCTTTTTCTGCTACCAACATGGAGAGGATTTCTGGGTTGGAAGAAGATTCTGTTTCTGTTTCCTCAAGCGCTCCCACTGGAGGCAACCAGCTTGGTGGTCAGGGCCCAGCCTGTGAGGACCACAGGAACCTGGAAAGGATGCGCTGTGGGGCTATGTGCAGGGTTCAGAGGGAGGAGGGCTTCGTCCCGGCCTCCACCCACACCTGGTCTAATGGCAGTCAAGGTTGCCTGAGTGCAGAGATGGTCACGATTTCCTCCAAAGGGAGGGGCCGGGCAGGAGGCGGTGACAGGTGTGGGGCTCAGGTGAGGTCGGCCAGCCCGCACCTGTGCAAGGCTGGTCAGGGCAGGAACAAAGCCAGTCTAGCAGCTGAGGTTGGAGGAAGGAGAAGTGACGTGGGGCGAGAGGGGCGCCAGCACACGTAGGCCTTTTTGTTTGCTTTTAAAGGAGTAAAAATATTAGAGTAGGTTTGGATTGGCTCCTAAGATTACCCTAAACTAACAACTGGTGTTTCCTCATTTGGTCCTGCTGCCTTGCAGGTATTTGCTTAGGAGTAGCACCACCGTGGTGTCACACCAGCAGCACGGAGGAGGAGCACCCTGGAGCACTGCAGAGCAGCGGATCTCGGGCGTGGACCGCGGAGAACACGCAATCTTCTTATTGAGGGGCACCCAGGGAACCATCCAGCCATGGCATCCCCCCTGAAACATGGATTCCCTTGTCAACATCCTGTCCCTTTTGTCATCTACTCTTTGCTTCAGATTTCTTTGTGGCAAAGAATTCCAAATGATGGTAACAATGACTGTTTCCAGAATGAACCTTGTAACATTCTTTAAATTCTTTTTCTAAATCGCTAGAAAGTTGAGCAAGTGAACCATTAGGAAATGTTGCCAAGGTCAAGATGAAATTAGACAAAAAGATTATAATAAAATTAGTGCTTTGCTGCCTGGATAAGGAAACTGGATCTGTCTTGTTTAAATACTGAACTAGAGCAAACATTGATCAGCCATAGTGTAGCATAATGAGGCAGATATGTTACATTAATATACTCCTAACTATGAGAAGTGATAGAATATTTGCCAGAAAAGGTACAACCGCACCAAGCTAAATTTACTGAAGAAAGCCTCAATAAAAATATCTGAAACAATGAAAATTAACCCTGACAACACAACTACAGTTCCTGAGGCAACAGAACTCTTTAAAGTAGCCTTGAATGAATTGATTGCAACTACTTTTATAAAAGGGAGAAAAGAGAAAAGAAAGATTGTTACAAAAGAATGCTCTGTACCTCTGAGAGTCTGCCATAGTGCTATAAATGTTTGCAGAGAAACCCAAGACATTGGGGGAGTTGTCCGGAACAGAACTAGTGCAGTAAAGACACAGTGGGGGCTGATAACACATCAGCAGAGAGAACCCGAACACAGCTAAATTATATGAACAGATGATAAGGATGCCAGCGGAATGAACCACCCTAGATAATGAAATAAGATCCAACATAGCAATAATGTGGGTACCCAAGAAACCAGACACTGCGATTACACAATACTGTAAAGCAATTATCCTCCAATTAAAAAATAAATAAATTTTTAAAAAAAGAAATTATTAGAGAAGATATTCCTGACATGAAAGCCTGTTTACTTGTGGCTCTTGAGAGAGGTGTTTTCACAAGGGACAGAGGAAGCAGAGACATTGTTCTGAGAGGGTGGAGGGCTAGACTGAGAAATTAATTTACTTTTCAGAACTGTGTCAGCTAATTTCCTGTGTCTAAAGTTAATGTCCTGATTAGAAAAGACTGGGCATTCTGGCAGATGGACTGGGACTTTGCATGTACGTGGATGAGGTATAGGTTCCTATCTGCCCACACCTCTGTTGTTTATGCCAACTGGAGTTGAGATGCAGCCTGAGGCTGTAGAGAGGCAGAGTTCTCAGCTGTTGTAACTTGCTAGTCCCCATCTGTGTGCTGAGGCTAACATTGTTAAGAGAAAGAGAAAGTTGCTAGCTGATCTTGGGCCAAGACAGTTAAGTAAGAGGAGCCATGAAACTATGGTTTCTCATGATGTACTCTGCATATAGGTTAAATAAATAGGGTGACAATATACAGCCTTGGCGTACTCCTTTGCCTATTTGGAACCAGTCTGCTGTTCCATGTCCAGTTCTAACTGTTGCTTCCTGACCTGCATACAGGTTTCTCAAGAGGCAGGTCAGGTGGTCTGGTATTCCCATCTCTTTCAGAATTTTCCA